TGTTGCTTTCAAACTGCTAGGTTGGCAGAAGCTGGGACAGAGCAATGGGAGCTCACCACCATCGAGCAGATTCAAACCACTGACCTTCCGATCAGGAAGCTGAAGAGACCCAGTAGTTTAGACCACAGCGCCACTTGTGTCCCAGCAAGAAATATATGAACAAGAACATATGAAAAGAAGAAATAACTAGAAGTAATCACCTGACCAAATACTTGTTGCATTCTCATGACAAACACCTCTGCCTTTTACCAGCTCCTCTCAAATTTGTAGCTCTAAGGGCAAAAAGGCTTAATTAGTTGATTTATACCATTCAAAAAAATCCATACCAAATCTCTGGAAAAGTACTGAAAAGGTTTCTAAAATCTGAATAGATAAGACATTAAATGTATCTACAAAAGCAAATATTGAAGTGATATATAGAAATTCCATTGGCTTCACAATATTGCCATTTGGAAATTATGTCAAAATAACACCTTGAACAATTGTGTGCATTGCACATCATTTTAGAGACTTTTTTTTTACCGAGTTAAGAGTTCTAATATTTTCAAAGGGTTCCACCACCACTACCACCTCCATGCCTATAAAGCAAAGGTAGCATTATTTCACAACAAAGTTTTCCTCCAAATTAAAAAGATATATAAATGAAGGTGTTTTTTTTTTTACTAAAGCTATCCAAAAGTTGGAATATGAGAGATGTTGTAGCAAGGGGTTTGATTTGTATGGGGGGAGGAAACACCTCTGCCTCCCTAGTTTAATCTGTAGCTGGAAAAACATGAAATGCCTTAATATTATGATTCTGTGTCATACATTACACAGGCACAAGAACAAAAATAAATTATAGTGTGATAACACAATATTTTCAGAACAGCAAAGTGATCTGGGTTTTTTTCTTGGCCAAGGAGCATGCAGTTAACTGAACAGTATGATATCTCTTGGACATATGAAACTGCAGGGGCAGTTTTGAGTTTCTGCATGCATGATGTTTCAAAACAAGAAAACAGAATTTCCAGCAGTCATGCTATGGTGCAGCTTCAGTGGACTGAAGACTTACTGCATCCTGATGACACCACCTGCCCCTGTTGATTTAGCATTATCATGCCAAAACAAGAAAAGTGGTACCAACCAGAAACAGTATCTGTTTGCTGCACATTACAAGTCACTGTTCTGGAATGTGTCCACTGAGCTGATGCTCAAGACTGCCATTTTGATTAGCAAGAATAAATGTGAAGACTGGTAAAGCTCCTGTGTGGTTTGCATATGTTAGTATCACTCCAAACCCACAAATCTAGATGCATCTTTAAACGTTCTACATACAACTAACTCATTGTGCAAAGTGGTGTGAGGTTATGGTATACAAGGAATGCCCCTATTTCATAAGCAAATCCAATCAGTATTTTGTGTAAAGGAATTGGAAGACATAACAGATGTAACTTAATTTCATGCCCAACACAGAACAAGTAGGAATGAAGCCCTGAAAATGTACATGGAGTGCAATGAAATAAGTAGCTCCCATTGGTACTTTCTTATAACACTTAACTTTCACTTTTAAACTGCACAATTAAAAGTCCTAAAGCAACTTCTTAAATTTAGGCTAAATTATCTTACCACCTTAAGCCCCTCAGTTCACCATTTTCACAAGAACTTGTGAGCTAGTTCTGAGCTAGAATTCTTCTAGCGTTCTCAATAGGAATCGCCACATAAACCTTTATCATTTCCTTCCTAGGAAGAGGCATTTATAACATTTTAAATAGTGATCCCATATATGCAGGCCTTGAATAAAGTCTGTTAATACTAGTGAATTTCTCTCTCCTCCACAGGAAAAAGGGAAGATAACACTGCAAATTCTGAAAGAACTAGATTTAGATACAATTGATTTTCAAAACCAGTCAAAGAATGGTGCAAAATAGTTTAATTTGTACCAAACTAAAAGCAATTTTAAAAGTCAAGTGTTCCTTGATTGTACATGGCCTCAAGCCCTAGTTGAAAGAAGCTTGAGAGGTGAAAAAGGAAACTATTTTTTTCATTATTCTCCTGCATAACATCTGACGTTTGGGGGACTGCCACACACTGTAACAGAAAAATGACAAGGGATAATCCTCAAAGTTGGGTTTTAATCCCCCCTTGCATATAGTCTACAAAAAAATGGAGCAGCCAGTTTCCACACATCCCTTCTGTCATAGGTTGGTTTGAGCATCTTCTCTATAAAGAGAAGATGCTCCCTTTTGAATGATGCTAAACATGAAAAGGTTTGGGGCCTTGATTTTGTGGTCTATACACACTTTGCATGTTTCATATTGCTAGCCTTTGGGCAGGACCAGCCTTACGCCGACACAGAGACAGCCACTTCAAGCAGCTGATTTTGGGTAAACTGAAAGGGCAACAATCTGTCGCTGTGCTTTTAATGCTAAGGAGAGGGACCACCTCAGGTATCAAAATAATCTTGACCAGCTTTTGCTATTATTTGCCAAGACTTGGGTGCAATATTTGGGAGCAGGCCTCTGTCGTGCTTGTCTGAGGCCAGGGGTGGGAGTCTTGTTGGAATAAAGTTATAAACTCAAACAGTGTAGGTGCAGCAGGCCACTGGCGAGCCCCCCCCCCCCCCCGTTTAGCAATCCGAGGCCTGGGGCAATTGTATCTGGCTCCCCCCCCCCCCGCCCCGCAAACTACATGGGCCTGTAGAGTTGATGAGATTTTCAGCTTAGAACTGATTTTTAAAACTCATCCTGCACCAAGTCAGGATTTGTTTTAAGAAATTATCTTGCATTTTAAACATAGCAATCCACCCCTTGACATCCCTTCCCACCTCATTCAAGAATATCTGCCCCCCCAAAAAAAAGAATCCATGCCACATAGTGTCCTGAAGCAAGTACAAAGGATACACAAAGCAGCACATTAGAATTTACGCACTTCTAAGCTCACTAGCAACTCTCATCCAAGATGCTAAACAAACTTTGTTCTCATTAATGAACCTGGGATCAAATTATGTCAGGAATGCCCTTGCAGGTGCGAAAAAGGACAGCAACAAAGGAGAAACGTCTCAATACTCACAGATGCAGCAAAGGATAAAGAAAGAAAGAACCCAACAGCCAGCCAAATAGAGATTGTCCCAGCTCAGGACGACATTAATGTGGTCTCATATATTTAAGTTGGAGATTATGTAAGTATAAAGGAGAAAGATGTTTCAGCCTTGATACTGCTTAGACACATAACGATGGGCCATCTCATGGGCAAGCATCTGCTCATGAATATGCATATATCTTTAAGCCCTCACGCCAAATGCATGAACGATGTAGAGCTTTCTGAAATAATAAAACCTTTGAATAAACACAGGAAATCGGGAGAGCTCAGGAACTTGTGGCAGCCACCTAGAAATAATCCTAACCCTCTGCAGATCAGTGCTTAAACTTAACACTAGACCAAATCCAACAGCATTACCTTTTATGGAATACATTCTTGGCAAAGCAGGGAGGAAATTTGGAGTCCAGGTGATCTAATGCCAACACCTACTTGCCCATCGGTTGATCCAATAAGTACCAGTTTGTCAGCTGAGTTCCAATTAACGACTGCTGAAATGCAAAGACCTTAGAGGTTTGAATAAATTATCAGATAATACAACAGGAGAAACTTTCTACAGATGCAAACTAATTTAACACATGTGTAAACTTTAAATCCAAATTATAATATAAAGGTATGCCCCATCTCTAACCATTTAATTCTGTAATATTAAGTTCAGAAACGTCTCACTTGGAAATCACATTAGGCAGGAGCTGAAGAACAGCTGGTCATTTAGTCTCACTGAACAGAGTCCAATGGATATTATTAAATGGATACTACTAAATCACCTTATAAGCTTATCTCCCTTGAAAGGAACAGCATTCACAAAAAGCAAGAACTCCAAGATAGCCGACTTGTAGTGGCTGTTCACACAACTAAGCTATCACGAGATATTTAGTTAACACGTGACAGACAGAGGTATGCAAGTCAGCCCCGCTTACTTAGATGAGAAAAAGAGCTTTTAAATCATGGCTACTTTAGGACAATGAGGAAGTGGGCTCTGGTCAGCTCACAAAAAGGTTCTGTGGTTTTAGATTATTATCTAGACTGTCCCTCAAGCTAGTCATCAAGTCCACAAGCCACCTTAGATTAATGAAAGCATATTTACAGAGAAAACATCTAAAGCACAGATACACCACACATGCTGATTTGGCATAAAAACTCTGCATAGATCAGAGACTCCGTTCGGCAATCAGGTTTCAATCTTAAATTCCTTTAGTTTGTGAAGTTCAACAGAAATCCAAACTTCATCAAGCTGAGCAAGGGCTACAGTGCAGGTCCTTACAATAGTTGGTGCACCTGTCAGCTGTTCCGAGTTTGCAAAATGGTGCCCTTAACGACTATAGAAAAGGGAGACTTCCAAGGGAAATCTTTGCCATGCAGCTATAACTCTCTCAGGAATATCAAAATTTAAGACGCTTTCTTTTAAAGTTCATTTGTTAACTGCATTTGAAGTACCTGTTTGTGCTTTGTGTGTGCTTTGTTTTCACAACCAGTCCCCTTTGGAATACCTTCCAATTTCATTTGCAACACAGGTAATCAATCACAGAATGAAATACAAATTCACTGGAATTCCTTAGGCTGCATTTTTTTAAATAATAATAATAATATATATGGTACAGTTCTAAAGTGATTTTCAAAACCATGACACAGCATGATCCTAAAAACAAGTTTACACAACTGTTTGCACACTCGACATAAACCAGTTCAGATCAGTGCATGAAGACATGATTAACCAATTACAAAACTGATTAACTCAGATTCCCAAACAATTCCCCATAGCATTCTAATGGTGCAAGCTCTTCAAACGACCACTTTAGCATTGTCAAACTAGCAGAAGAAATGGAAGCTACTAGGGAAAGGGCTTACAGAGGTCTGATCTAGCACACAGAAGATAATAGGAAAAGCACAACAAAAGTGCAATTTAACAGCAAAAACTCATAATGTATGTTTAAACCATTTATTGTAGGATGTCAGGCTATGCAACTGATTATGGGCTCCAGTGAAGATAAAAATCTGCAGAAGCTTTAAGTAACAAGGACACTGCATTATTTTTTTTTAAGAGAGGGGGACAAGCAATAAGATTTAGTAATAATCACACACAAAAAGGTAAATGCATCTGGCATTTTTATCTGCTTCTAGTTAAACAAATGGCTTATAGCAAAAACCACCTAAAGGAAATGTCTGTAATTTCACATTTGCTTTCTTCCACTCATAAATTTCTAAGACAACTTGCCAATGTCCCATTTGAATGCAAAAATTATTGCAAAAGGTAACATGTTAAGATGTCTTTTGCTGTTTATTTATTTATGGAAAATGGTAAAAGATCTGATTAAATCAAAGTCCCCTTTCAATGATTAATCAACAGAAGCCTAGCCCTAGACAAATTTCTGAAGAGGGTTCCTAGGGGCTAATCATTATTCCACAGGTGAAAAGACAACATATAGAAGAACTTCATGTAAAACAGTTCTCATATAGTGCAAATTTAATACACTTGTATCACAACACAAATTAACTCCTCGTATTCATCTAGGTTTTTCCCTAACTTTATACCTTGGCACACAAAACAGAAATGCTGAGTCAGATAAAAAATTCACACTTCTGGGAGGGCGGGGTAAGGATAGCAAACTGGCCAATTTTGCCCCCATTTAACTAGTAACCCTTTCTTGTCCTCTTCTTTTAGCCATTCACTCAATATAAAACTGGCTGTGTAAGCCATATTTCTGTGCTAAGTTACCTCTTATAATTAAATAAATTCAAATAGTTTATTTAAAATAATAATAATATATTCCCCCACCCACCCCCAAAAAGAAAAGAAAAGTAGAACACTGCTCATGGCCAAACTGAATGGAAGGTTGTAGTTGTTTCAAACCACTTTTCATGCAATTCCCCTGAAAGGAATCAGAAACAACAGCTTTGCACGTTTGGTTTTACGAAACCGCATCACATGAAACTTAAAACAATATTGTGCACAGGGGCATAGAAACCTCTATCATGCTCCTGCTTGATTCTTCCATCTCTCTTCAAGTGCATATGGAAAAGGAAACTAGACAAGGTTTCCTGGTTTCCTGTCTTTGCCTTTAATGGGGACTATTGTGCTCTCCGAATTGTTCTGTTGAAACTGAAGTCTGCTCCCCCTATGTGACGAAGGAGGGGCGTTGCTTTGCTGGTGATGGAAAAAAGAGGAACCTGGGTAATGCCCCATGACCTCACTGTAAGTCGGGGGTGGTCCTTCCATCCTTCCATTACTGCTATAATTGGTTGCACTTATGCCCGAATTGCTGCTTGGTGGGCACGGGCCCCCATTGTACATTGAAATGTCTATCAAGTCGCTGTCAAATATAGTTCTGTTGGGTGGTGCCCTCACAGATTCTCTGTTGAGTTCCATCTGTTGTTCTGGGTCCCGAAGCTGCAGAGTGCATGGCCCTTGGTATGGGGGCGGCTCTTCACCATCGGAGAGGGAGATAGTAGGAGGGAGGTCAATCTCGTGCTGCATGTACGGGTAGGTTGGCTGGAAGCGGCTGAAATGTTCCCTCTGCATAAAGGATGGAGCAGTAAACCTGTCTCTGGACCGTGGGGCATACATGATCTGCAGTGTGAAGGAGGAGGCATCAACTAATCAATCAAGTTAAAACCTAGTTCACGCATGAATTAGACATACTCAATACAGAGACACATAACAGGTGTGGGGTAGAATAATGTGGAAGCAGCATCATAAAGGGTTGTTTTCCTGGGTGACATTCTCCAAGATGTCTTATATAACCCAAGCATCTGGGCCAAGGAAAGGAGTTTCAGTCATAGGACAAGACTTCTGCAAACAAATTCGATTTAAGCAATCAGACAAATTGAATGAATTCCAAAACTTAGGAAACTTCTGATCCAAAATTATATTCTCCACGGGGTCTTTGATTCGATTCCTTGAACCCTAGCCAGTGTACAACACCTGAGGAGGACCCATGGCCCAAGGAGCTCTACACAAGCAACTACAGTGGTACCTTGGTTTACGAACTGAATCCGTTCCGAAAGTCCATTCTTCAACCAAGGCACGCTTTCCCATAGAAAGTAATGCAAAATGCATTAATCTTTTAAAAACAACCCCTAAATCAGCAATTTAACATGAATTTTACTATCTAACAAGACCATTGATCCATAAAATGAAAGCAATAATCAATGTACTGTACTGTAGAATAAAACAGTATTGTGGATGATAAAAATGAAAACTAAAAAAATTTCTTACCTGCACTGATGATAGTCATTGTTTGGATGGGGGGCTTTTATCCATTTCCGCAGTCACACAATCGATCAATCAGTAGCTGAACTGGGATCCACACAGATTCCCCCCTCTGTGGGAAATGCTCCCTAGAGTGCACGCCTCCCGCAGCAGCATGGGGGAGGGGAGCTGTGCACCTGCAAACCAGCTGGCTGGCGGGAACGCAGCTTCCCTCCCTCGCGGCTGAGGGAAACACCATGACAAACCCCTTCTCCACTGCCGGACAATGTAAGTGTGGCATTCAAAATGGAAGTGCACCCCCAAACAGTGTAAGTTTGGATTCCAAAAAAAGTTCGTTAACCAGAACACCTTCCAGTTTTGAAGTGTTCGTATTCCAAATAGTTTGTGAACAAGGCTGTTCGTAGACCGAGGTACCACTGTACAAACCACTTCCTCTCTCAAAGATCCCACTTATTTTAGGGAAACTGTGTGGAAATCTACACACTTGAAGCATAGGCGCTAGGGGTGTGGGGTGCCTGGGCACTGGGCTCTCAGGGGTGCCAGACCAAGAGTCCAGGGCCCAAGAGTTGAGTCCAGGGAAGAGCCCGTCCGTCCGTTGGAGTACCGCGGTGGGCTCTTCTGCTGCGGGCGGCTCTGCGCTGTGAGTTCGGGGGCGACTGAGCTAGTGAGACACTGAGGCAGCCGGCCGGGCGGCTCTGCCCTCCTGCGCACCTGGGACTGGGCAACCTTGGGGGGCGGATCTTTGCACCCCAGCACCACATATGCTTAAGACTTGAAGTTAAGTTGAACTGACAGAAATTGACTGCAAAACTGCAGTCACAGCACAAGGGGGAAATATGTGCTATTAACAAAAACGTAGTTTCTGGAAGATCTGAAGTGTGAATGAGAGCTTACCTCAGAAGCTCCCCGACGTGAAGATGAGCTGTCAGAAGGCCACAAACACCCCTCCTAGCAGAAGAGAGAAAACGAGAGAACACTTAGCTTCTGAACAAGGTTTCTTATTATACTTTTATGATATCAATGCTCAACATCCTAGTCAACTTCACATCATTCATGTTTTGCTCTAACATTTACATACTCAAAGAATTAGGATATATTTATTTCCTCCAACGGCAGATACAGTGATTCAGTTCTAATTAAGCCAATGGGCCTGGCCTACTAGTAAACGTAGCTTAAGAGCCTGACTCTGTGTGCATTTGTTCCGAAGCAAGTCCAACTTAGTTCCACAGAACTTACTTCCCAGTAAGTGCACAACATTCCAGTCTATGTCAGTTTACACCTCCAGTTTAATTAAATTGGTCTTGTAACACAGTCCAGTGAATACACACTCTGAATAAAAGTATTCTCTCTTTTTCAGCAAGCCTGCCACTTGCCAAAGGGAACATTTAGAAGATACTTATTTTGTCTTACCAGTTTCTAAAAGTACCATACATAAAAACTAAAAACCATCTAAAAGAAGTAGAAGATGGCTTGTAAAACCAGTAGTTGCAGGTTTCATCTGACAACAAAGCGCATGAAAATCGCACTCAAATATGCTAGTTGACATGCAATGGGGCTTTTTGATCCAGTTTCCGTGGAAACTCAACTGCATCAATGAAAATAAACTACGGTAAAGATTTTATAGCACTATATTTGTAGATTCTCTCTAATCTCTGCCCCTTCTTTATGCCTGACTCCAATATTTCTGTGGATCATTCCTTCTGTTATAATATTCCATTTTTTATTTTTACTGATCAGCCCATCAGGAAAACTGAGGCACAAACTTTAAGCCAACTAAAGAGAAAGAGAGCGAGCTTCCATCTTCAGATTTGTTTCCATCAAAGCTATGAATATGAAAATGTTCATTTAGGGTTATCCCATGTCAGAATTTTCATTTTGCATTTACATGGCTAGGGCCCCTAGGGCCAAGAACCCTAACTGGTCAGGAAGGAGAGAGCACATAAAGGTCACTGCTATGCTACAAACTTCACTGTTGCTAGCTAAGGTCCCAATATTGACACTCATAACGAAGTTAATTATCCCAAGGTGAAATGTACTCTTTCTGTAAATAAACCCATTATTGAAGTGAGGTAATGGTTTGTTATCATGAAAACAAGCTCATTTAAATCTGCTCAGAAATAGAATTTTGCCAGGACTGTCTCTTTGTCCTCGATCTGGATCCAGCTCTTTGCGCTCACCAGTGGGAGCAAAGTACAATGCTAATTGCACCAAACAGGCTGTGGTCCATCTGTCGTTAAGAATGCTGTGGGTGGTTTTTTAACACACTGCTTTGATGCTAAAGATGGCATGAATAGACCAAGTCGACACAGTTTAGGATTTCTCCTTAGTATTTGAACAGTCTTATGTGAATCCCTCACCCACTTCACCATAGAAATCAACGTTTAAATAGGTACTTGCTTGGCCTCCATGGCAAGAAACCAATTTTTCCCCACCCAAAAAAAACCCCCAAAGCCTGAGAGGAATCTTGCCTATCCACACTCCTGAGAAATGAAAGACACATACAGCACGCATAGCATTCCAATGCATTTCCCCAATGTAGAAGGCCCAGAAAAGAAGCTCAAGGACTCCTCAGCTTTCTTAATTTCTTAGCAGAGGAAAGCCGGCTCACGGCATTCCTAGTGCCTCCCATTTCCTGGCTGGGAAGACCCTATCAGCTGGGTGGCGAAGTGGGGTAGATTTCCCATGGAAACTTTTCAGTTTCTTCAGTTCAATGCATGGATGCCAATTGCAAATGCAATCGCAGCTTCAAAATTAGCTTTATTTACTAAATACAAGTAGAATAAAGATGCAAAATTTGATCACCCTCTAGGGTGGCAGAACATTCCACAAAGCGAAAATCCAAACTACTCTAATTTCCATGGGACAATTCCCCCCCCCCAAACCCAACATCACAGCAGCTGGGAAGTGATTTCTGTGCATATTCTCTTTCCCCCAGAGAAAGAGTTGTGACATGCAATTGCAGTAGTATATTAAGAAAAGGAGCAGGTGACCTGAGCAGAGGGTGGGTGGCAAGTGGGAAAGAGACACCTTAGTTCATATTTGCAAAACTACCTTAAAATGGGGTCCATCATAATTTCTTCAGGTCTCTGTTGCATTTACAGTGCCTGCTGTGATTGTGATTGCTGCTGCTGCAGTTTCCTACCACTTCTCTCTACATCTCTTATTCCCTTTTCCCTTTAGTCCTAGTCTCTGGCCAGAGATTTCTGCTTGAAGAACTGTACCCATAAAGCATCCTCTGCTAATGAAATTAAGGAAAATTCAGAAGTAAGCCTAAAGGCTAAAACAACCAAGCGCCTTCCAAAGGGCCAAAGAGAAGCAGGTGCTGCTCACAAAAGAGGCGGTCCAGGTCTAAGATGCTCAAACCAGAAAATTAATGTCACGGCAAGGCCCCAAATTAGTTGCAAATACTGTAACTGTACTCTTTCAAGACACAACAGTAATTCAAATCAACTGTCTCAAAACCTGTAATTCTTAATACGTATTGGCCTCATACAGATGCAATGAATTACATAAACCACTGTTTACTGGCCCAGGAGCCTGCAAGCTCACATTCCCTTACTGGCTCCAGTGAAGCTATCTTAGTTTTTAAGGATACAATCCTGCACCCATGTACCTAGGAATAAACCTCGTTGATTCAATGGGGCTTGCTTCCAAAAAGATAAGTATGTGATTCATAGACTCATAGAATCCTAGAGTTGGAAGAGACTCTGAGGATCATCTAGTCCAACTCCCTGCAATGCAGGAAAATCCAGCTGTCCCATCCAGGGATCAAACCTGCAACCCTGGTGTTATCAGCACCATGCTCTAACCTACTAGCTATCCAGGCTGTGAATGCACTGTAATCCATAATTTGTCTATTTGAATAAAGGGAAACTGGTTGAAGAAACAAGGAACTCTGTGGTGAAGCAGGGCACGTGAGGAGCAGGGGGTGGTGTGCGAGTTCCCAGGCTCATAAAGCATCATTTGTTGGGCTGGGATACTTATGTCTCAACTAGGCCATTGGGAGTTTTCCAAACTGACCGTTTTATGAGCAAAACATTTTGGGGAAGGACACTGTTAGGGTGTGACCCAGGGGGCTTGAATCCAAGGTCTTTTGCACCTGGCCCTGAATCTCCCGTCTCTTCTTAGCCTTTATTTTTTGATTAAAAAAAACTTTTTTAAAATTGCATTGCTTTACAAGGCAAATTCTCCTCTGGAAGCTGACCTAAATTTGCATCTATAAATATTACCATATGCAATTTGTATCAAGGGCCTGTGCACTGAGTCATGCTTTTGGGATTGGAAGCTACACGATTTTACAGAGCTTATGACTGCTAGTTAAAGGAACTTGTAAGAGGAACAACAGCAGAAAGTCAAGGTGTACCACTTAGAGACCGACTGTGCTTCCAAACACCACTTCCCTATTACATAATAAAAAAAAGGAAGAGGTTTTCATTCTTTCATCTCATGTTCTACTGACTGAGCTACTGAAAGGTGATTTATCAGAGGTGCTTTTTACACACTTGGATCTTGGTCTCCTTCAATTATTAACTTTTAACTCTATTTCAAAAAGAGATTCCATTTGGGGGGAAAACGAAGCACATTTAAAACCTCATTTCTGTAATGCACACACATATACCGATGGCAGGACAGAAGCTCAAAAGTGCCAAGTGTGAAATTTGTCTATCACCTTGCTCAAAAGGGAGATATTTACATAGCTTTATATTCTACGCATGTCATGCCTTTGGTGTCAGGAGTAAGGTCAAAGTAGATATTTAGCCACACACCCACACCCCTGGGCTCAAGATCAGGCGAAGCAAGCAGAAGCCATGAAGACTAAGATGCAAAAGTTGTCACGTCTCTCAAAAGATAACGCAACACACGTGTTCCTCTGACTGAATAAAAAGTGTCATAATGGTGCATTGCTATAATTACATTAGAAATACAATAAGCAAAAGGATGCGTATAACAATAACTTCCCACTGCATTCGCAAGTAATGGGGTTTTCTGTGTCATTTTTTCATTTTTTCTCTAGGTGGCAGCAAGAGGCCAGATATGTCTGATCTAAGGACGATGCTGAACATGGTCCCTGCACACAAGGTCTGCACTTTTTACCTGGTTATAGCCTAGCTGTCCTTTGGGACAAAGAAAAGAGAACAAGGCAGACCAATATATTTCTTAATGACACCAAACACTTCTTCTAGAGCATAAGCAATGCCACAGTGCATACTACACTAGAAAGAGACAGGCAAGTACATGCAGGATTCCATTAAAAGCCACACATGACAAATTCAAAGAGAGAGAAAATAGCCTTTAAAAAAGCAAGCCAACAAATAAAATAGTAACTAATGCAAGAAACACACTTTTTTGGGGGGGAGGGGTGCCAACCAGTGGGGAAATGTCCTGACAGTTCAAAATAAGCAGAAAAACAACTAAGTTAGGACCACTAAGTTTTACAACTTTTTGCATACTCAAATCTTCCTCACTTCTTTTTACTGAGGAGACACAGGACGAATATTTGCTATACAGCATAGCGTAAAGTAAGAAAGATGATCAGAAACGTCTATGAAATTGCCCAGGGTTACCATGACAAACCAGGCTTTCCAGACTGGGCTACGTCCATAAAGAAACACTTAGCCTGTATCATGGCACACTTTAAATCCTGACAGAACTCCCCCCCCCATGCATGTTGTCCCCAACAACTTTAAGCAGGTGCATTTAGATTTTTTATTTCCATTTTATTGATTACTGTATGTATGCAACTGACCAATTTGATTGCTTGATTAGATACAATAATTCAGCTTCAGAAACAAATCCTTGAAAAGATACTAAGCCATGCACAGGGTCTTCCAGTTTACAAAAGCTTTCCCTGTTAGGAAGAGATGCTGACTTGCCACAAGCAACTAGGCTTGTGGCTGAAGTTGTAGCAGCAGTAGCAAAGAATAATACTTTTCCAACTCCCTTTGGATTTAGAGCCCCCCCCCAATGTCACTGGAGCTTCAGAGAACGCCCTTCCTGTCCTGCTCCCAGCAGTCAAGGAAACTTCCAAAGGGAAATGTTACTGCACAATTATTGTGAAGTTCTAGTTCTGTAAAGACCTAGGAAACATTTTTATGAAACTCTTTTGGGGGAAAGAATATTATGGAAAGAATGAATTTTGGCAATACACAAACAGCAAGACACCTGCTAGTTCTCTTAAATGACACAATATACGTCACTATACAATGGCTTACAGCAAGAGTATGCAGCGTGGAACAAAAGATGCATGTTTCTTCTTGCCTGTTGGGCAATCCCATTATTTATTACCACTGTAAAATAGATCATTGATTACAAAGCTGTCACAGATGTTTTACCTGAACTTCAATCCGGGCATCATTGAACTAAACCCTGGCAAGTTTCTCTGAACACATTATTTATCATCATCATCATTATTCCCCCCGCCCCTTCAGTCTCAGGGCAGGTTACAGTTAAAACACAATATTAAAAACAGTACAAAACAACATATAATCACAGAAAAAGCTGGGCCCTCAAAAATATGCATCTCAAGTGTCAAAAGCCAAAGTAAAGAGGTGAGTCTTCAGCATTCGCTGAAAGCTGTATAATGAAGGTGCCAGGCATATCTCTGCAAGGAGGGAATTCTACAACTTTGGGGCCACCACAGAGCATGCCCTTTCCAGGGGCACACACACCCCCAACTGAGCTTGAGAGGGCATGGGAGCTACCTCTCAGGTACTCAGATCAGCAGACAGGGTTCTAATGGCCACAGCAACAGAAACTTCTGCAAGCAGGAAGCCTTTGCACATATGGCTGAATGTGCAAAGACTTCCTTCCTAAAAAAAACAGTCGTCAGGGAGCAAGGCTAGAAACAGCACCTGAAGATACAAAGGACAGGATTCAAACAAAATGAATTTATCTCTGGGTTAGTTTTTTGCCAAGGAGATAAATATATAAGCAAGAAAAGGTACTGACCCAGTTATACCATTTCACCTATTTTGTTTTAGCAGTAGGCATTAGTCCACTGTATAGAGCATGCAGAAGATCCCAGATATCAGAGCTTGGGGGGAAAACCTCCACCTAAGAGCTGCTGCCAGCCAAAGTAGACAATGCTAAGCTAGATGGATGAATAGTCCGACTTCATAGGAGGCATGGTTTCCATGTTCATATAGTGATTCTATTCAAAACTGCTCAAGGGGCATGTTTCTCTCTGCCACCCCTAGACAGTGGGGCATCTTGAAATTGTACAAGAAAGAGCTGCAGTTATTAGAGGCAGAACTGGTAGAGCAGTTCAAAGTAGCAAGAGAAAAAAGGAACAAATCTTGCATTTTTCTAAGGAATATTAAACATGAAATCAGAAAGGGAATATTCAGAATTTGGAGGTAGGGGGAGGAGGGAAAGAAAAGGCTGCCTAGCCCTAACCGTACAACTACATTAGAGCTAACCAGAAAGACTTTTGCTAAATTCACTCAACTCTGCCAAGAAAAAAAATGACTGTTTTCTTTCAGATATGTCATATTTTTAAATCTTGCTCCCCCTCACCCAAGACTCTAAGGCTTCTTCTGTTAAGGGAAGCTGCAGCGGCTTTCAGGCATTATTAGTCAGCAAACATTCTAAATCCGGAATCAGGATATGCACACACATAATTACTTTCCCCACAATCAACTACCCAGTCATTATCACCAATTAAAAAGAAATAAGGCCTTCAAAATTCTTTAAATAAAATAAAAAGATTGACAATTTAATAGAATTTTAAAGGGTTGTTTGTTTTTTGCTGTTGTTTTTAAACACGATTTCACGATACATCTCTGCAACTGCTTTTTCCAATTCCGTCATCTTAATCAGACAACATAAAGGCCTAGTCACTGGAGGCTTCCGGTTCACGGTGGTTGTTCAAGATCTAAGCAGTGAGGCAGATAATATCTAATTCGTTGGATACTTGATACCTCTCAGTCACTAAGGATGGCCACAGTTAAAACTTCCTTTTAGACTCTGAATACAACCAGTGAAAAAAATGCCAGACTGAGAGCCCAGATCACACCTGATTACTTCAACCCAACCTGATTACAGTGGTACCTCAGGTTACATACGCTTCAGGTTACAGACTCCACTAACCCAGAAATATTACCTCGGGTTAAGAACTTTGCTTCAGGATGAGAACAGAAATCGTGCTCTGGCAGCACGGCGGCAGCAGGAGGCCCCATTAGCTAAAGTGGTGCTTCAGGTTAAGAACAGTTTCAGGTTAAGAACACACCTCCGGAACGAATTAAGTACTTAACCTGAGGTACCACTGTACTGCAACCCAAATGTCTACTACAGACAACAGCTGCACACTTCATGCAGCAATACATTTGCTACAAAAACACTGGCGCTTCCTGGAAACACATTAAGGGTGTGGAACATACATGTGCACTATCATGCCAATAAGTGCACATCTGGATAGCCCAGTCTAACCAGGACTTCTAGGCATGATTACGGGTACTTAACATTACACATTCATTCATGCTTTCTTTTCCTGTAGGTGTATTCTCGTCAGTTCTTTAGCCCTCATGTGACCTTGTTGATTAAGAAAAGTTGCATTTATTACAGTTGCATGTGTTTTTTTGCATAGCAATAATGCCAGGGGTAGAAAACAACCACCCAAGAAGAAATTGCAGGTTTCTCTCCCCGCCCCCCAAATATACATACATACATAGTGTAGTGGCCATGGAATTTGCATTGCTGTTCTAAAGCCCAGATTTGAGTCAACAACTTCTTTCATTCAGCTGGCAGAGGTTCCCTTATTTGTAGAGAACAGGTCATACAACTCATTTGCCATGAGGCAAGGCTGCCAGTTTGGCATGCAGAAAGACAGACCTCCAAAAACCTGAGCATCCTTTAAAAAATAGCCTTAGTTTAGTAAGATTATGGATAAGTGCCCCAGGATTGCTAAACATGACTAAGATTAAAAACAAAAAAAGTACTTGGAAATATTAACAATGGGGGAGCACCAGTCATACCTTCCTCTGTGAATGGCCTCAACCATTTGAAGAGTCATGGGTAGTGCTGGATCAGAAAGACTCAGATCCAAATCCCTAGTTAGTCATGGAGCTCCCTAAGTAGCCGTAAATTCTTTCTCTCCCTAATCTACCTTGTGAGGATATAAGGAAAAGCCCAATGAATGACCCTTGATGGCAGTGGAGATGGATGAGCTACAAAAATGTGATACAAAAGGGCGGGCCTTCACACTTCTTGAATGAAACAAAGCCAAGCACAGCCTTTAGATACATATGCAGAAGCATTTTAAAATTCTGCTAACTTTTCTGTAGTAAATCAGTAAGCACAGAATTTATTAGAGATAGGATACAGAGGCCCTTTTACCAGCTTCCCATGATTTGGTGGCCTGGATAGGTCGGCTGTGCCAGGGTGATTCATGCTCTAGTAACTCTTGGTTGGATTAATATGTGTTATATGTGGAACCACCCCAGTCAACCACCCGGAAGTTTCGGTTAGTGTAGAATTTGGCCATCAGAATTCTTACGGTTACAACCACAGCACTCATATCTTCTGAAAGTACGGTGGTACCTCTGGTTGCGAACGGGTCCGTTCTGGAGCCCTGTTTGCAACATGAGCAGAATGCAACCCATGTCTGTGCGTGCGCAGGTCGCGATCCGTCACTTCTGCGCATGCACGTGACGTCATTTTGAGCATCTGCGCAAGCGGCAAAACCTGGAAGTAACCCTTTCTGGTACTTCTGGGTCGCCGCGGGACGCAACCTGAAAAGATTTAACCTGAAGCAAACGTAACAAGAGGTATGACTGTATTACAAAGACTAGCATATTCTCTAGAGCACAATTTAAGGTGCTGGTTCTTATACTTTGGGATCCAGATATCTGAGGAAGTACCTGTTCCCATTCCAGCTTGCCCATGTCTTAAGATCTTCCGTTGAGGTCCTTCTCCAAGTAACCTTCTTTAACAGAGAAACGTTATGTAGTTACAAAGCAGAGGACACTTTTTGTGGTGGTGCCCCAACTGTGAAATGCTTTCTCAAAGGAGACATGTCTGATGCCAACATTTTAATGCCAGATTAAGACTATTACATTCCTATTTGCCCAAGAATGTTAGATGGTCATAAATGTTATTCTTTAGACTTTTATCCTACTATCAATGTTTCTTCACATATGTTATATGTATTTGATGTATAAATGGTTCTCACACTTTTGTATATTGCCCTGGAATGTTCTCATGCAAGGCGGTTAAGAAATATCTGAACACAATTTCTTTTTGTTGTGTGTGTGTCTTTTTCCTGGTGACCAGTTGTTTGCCTGTAAACTCCAGGTGGCCCTGCCAAGTGAGGTGTGACTGGTGGCTACAAGAGAGAAAGATTTTTGTTGCTGGGATCCTATATGTGAATGTTCTTCCTAGATGGGCTTGCTTGGTTTCCAATAGTTTAGCAATACTGGAGGCTGCCCAGAGAATGTCATTATTGAGCAGCATATTAATATGGCAAATAAATAAAAGGTCTGCCACAAAACATATATTAAACCAATATGGGTAGCATGGAAGTTTCAACTCACCGGTTGTAAAGATTCTTCTTGCCTCCTGCTTTGGCTCTGCCGACTGATGAATGACCGTGTTGACACTTTATAATGGTTCAACAAGCAGATGATCACCACTATCATAACAGTTATAACCACGATTATGATGATGATCTGAACAAACTCTAGTTCAGCTGTGGGAAAGAAAGAGAAAAAGTGTCACTCTAGGGTAGATAAGGAGTGTTAAAAAAAGAGGAGGGTGAAACTGCAAGCTGATACCCAAAATAATCTATTTGTTGATGCATGTATATTGCTCAATAAAGTTTTTACTACAGCAAAAAAACTGATCCCAACACACTATTTCAGGGTTGAAATAGCTTTGTTTTTCCTCTCTGGAAAACAAATTTCAGAATAACAAAATCTGCAAACTGGAAAGGCTAAATAATTATGCCTTTTCCCTATCTGAGGATTCCCTCTTCCCTCAATGTCTAAAAAAAAAAGATTCTCTTCTGATTTTCATCAGTGACACAGCACAGCAAAAAAATTCAATATAAATCATCCCCGCCACCGCCTTAGACATCAAAGTTAATTGATGAAGGAGAGCTCTAAATAAGAAAATGCAGCAACAAATCAAGTTGAGATGCTTTTTAAAAAAACTTCTTGGATCATCTAGAAATACAAATCTTCTTGCACTTTCAGTATGTCATGTTGGGAAGTACACAGTGAACCGACTGCAAGGTAAGCTAATATCCTGGGTGAAAACATCCTTCAAGAAAAAGAAGCGTTTAAGTAACAACATCCTTCCTATTATTGCAATCAATTCAAGTAACTCGTCATCCAGGGGAATAGGAAGAAACCGGCACAAAATTGATAAATGATGCACTACTGTGCTGTCCTGCCATCCTGCTACATAAAGCTTTCTATAGAAGTTTCACATATAGACCAAAGACAGGTACAAGAAGGTATTCACAGTAGGGAAGGGATCCCTATCCGACTGGAGGTTTGACATGTGTCCAGAGTCTATTTTCATTAAGCTTGCAGAGAAAGAATGATAAAATCTTACAGTGGTGCAAAGTCTACCCACTTTTGGCTCTGGCCCTAAATTAACTTGTCCTGGCCAAAAACCCTTTGTAGAGAAATGGTTTTCCATTCCTACATACAGGTGGTGACCATTTTGTGCAAGGGTTCCATTCCTGGCCCTTACGCACATCGGTGGAGCAAGCAAAAACCTGTTCCACCCCGTTACGCCTTCTTTTGGGTCCAAAAAGCCCCAAGCATCAGTGGTCATGCATCAATTGGTTGAGCACAAAATGGTCCCCATCTGTACATAACACACTGATTTCTTCAACCTTAATGATGAGCAACATAATAACTTAACGGTCCTTTAAGAATTCAGAAGTTACAAGCACAGGAAGCTCCAGAATTATAAGGACTGCTGTGCCACTGCCCACTTACCAGAATACTGAAATAAGTAATCGTTTATCTGTATCTAGTCTCCCATTAATATTACCACCATCACCACCACCACAGTAACAGTTCAATAAATGAAAAATGTAAGGGGAAGCTTAAATAACCAGAAGGATTCCTTTGAAGAAGAAGAAAACCCTGAATATGTAAAGCTTTCATTAAAGAAAAAAGGAACAAGGACTGACTTTCCTTGGCTCATACGGGATTGATTGTGTGTGTGTGTGTGTGTGCGCGCGCGCAGTGAAACCATGGTGATGAGAGATTAACCTAGAAAGTCACTGTAGTTTTACAAAGTCGCAATGCCCATAAAATGTCTTAAAGATTAAAGAAAACGCCCCAGGGTATTACAAATGTTTTCCTTTTGGAAGACATGATAATTGCTTTACACGCCTCAGATTCAATTAATGCATCAATTAAAATTATGGCACTTTGGGACAAACTTGTCACATCATTAATCTTGAAGGTTCACACCTTTAGCCATTCAAATTAACAGGAAAAACACATCAATGACAGAATAATGTACTTGTTTGTACGTGCAAGAATGAAAAGGTTTTCCTTCCATTCAGTTTCCTGTTTACAGCAAATACAAATCAAACTTCAAATATGCATGGCAAACTGCAGTGCTGGACTAAGACCTGGGAGACCAGGGTTCGAATCCCTACTCAGCCATGAAGCTCACTGGGCCAATCAGAGTTTCTCAGCCTAACCTACCTCACAGGGTTGTTGTGAGGATAAAATGAGGAGTGGGGAACCATATACACCACTTGAGCTCCTTGCAGGAATGGTGGGATATTAATGAAATTAATAATATTTACAATTCACATCTTGAACAGCCCATGCATATATAAGATTAAGTCATACTTCAGCTAAAGCATGCTTTTGGTTATTTTCATTGGCTATACCTCTAGTTGCGTTAGGTTCATGTTGCGGATTTTCGGGTTGCGAACGCGGCAAACCCGGAAATGTATACTTCCGGGTTTCGCTGTGCGCGCACACATAAAACTGTTCTGCGTGCTTCGCGCATGCGGAGTGCTCTGTGCACTTTGCGCACACACAGAAGCACTCTGTTGTGTCACACGCACACACAGAAGCGGCACTCTACTTACTGACTTTTCGGGGTGCAAATGGTACCCTGGAATGGATCACGTCCATAAGTAGAGGTACCCCTGTACTGGCACAGCAATGGCAAAACAAAGCCAGAAATGTATTTTAAAAGTATGTATTAGCTAACATTTTAATGATCCAGAATCTTTCACGCATATGGAATTATGTAATCCACAAGCATAATGGTTGACACTTGGGCATCTTTAGCATGGCAGAAATTCAAAGAAAAGGCAAGATTATAATTCAGCCATTTCTAAAGCTAAGTGCACAAAAAGATGATCACAATTCCTATTCTTAAAGCTTTGGCTAGGCAGAAGGTGGAAAATATAGTTGTTATTTTTTTCTCCCTCCAAACTATTCCTTTTCCAATCAAGAATACAGAATGTAGAAAGTGGATTAGTGGTAGAATCTAACAACACCTGCCATACAAGGACATGCGTTCCAAGACCGTGCACAAAATCTTACCATTTTTCTGCATGCCGTGAGAATTATTCACAGTCTAAGGGAGGATTAAAAGGACCTCACTATGCAACTGAAGAAAACAGAAAATTTCCTTTTCTGCTTCCCTAGTTGCTCCCTCATTATGGCTATCAATAAGGCAAAGTACAAATATTTTTAATTCAACCAGTGAGTTTCCCACTGCTGCTACCTCAAACTTCACATGCATCAGTCAATATGTTAGTATATACTCAGGTCACTGCTGCAGCTGTTATTGACAACAGGGTACAAAAAAAATCCTTGATTTCTGTGCCCTGTGTCCTCTTCCAGCATGCCTCCCCGACCTACTAAGAGGGCACAAGGTTTAGGCTTAAAAAGCAGCAGCCTAACTATTTCTCAACCACAGGACCCCAGCAGGCCGATTACTTGAGAGGCCAATAACCCAAGTACTTAATTGGCCCAAAGATATTTTATTACTGTGTCAATTGAGCAGCAGTTGTGAAAAAGCAATGTGCAAAATAAGTAATGTTGATTTAGGCTTTCCTAGAATGCAGTGATGGCTGGAATGACGTTATTTCTGCATCTGCCAAAAGCACAGACTTCTAAATTTAATCAAGGGCCCTGAACATTTTTACAGAAGGCCAGTTCCTCTTTTCCTATGAATGGTTATTTTGAAAACAAAAAGTCTGAAAATATGCAAGCAAAATCTGATAAACAAGAACATTTTAAGAGGCAAAAATGTGATAAATAAAAGTATGTTAAATATGTGCAGGTGTAGAAAAGGAGAGCAAGACGGACAGAAAAATGCAAGTCTACTCAGAAGTGCGTCCTACTGTGTTCAGTGGGATTTGCTTCCAAGTAAGCATGTATAGCATTGCAGCCCAAGTGAGCCATAATCAGACCCTTTTGATCAACAGGATGTGGGTTGATTTCCAAAGTCACATCTTTAATTACAGCATAGTTTCACAACTTTAACAGCAGTGTAGCTTCAAACTCTGGGCTCTCCCCCCACATCCATATCACATCAGATCAGTTGTGTCTGCATTCCAAAACCCAGCACTGGGGATTATTTCCACAAGGTGAAGGAAAACAATTTTTATACAAAGGCTTCATCTTGGCTCACACACTCATTTGCATACATAATTATAATACCCCCCTAAGAATTTTTAACTCTTAATTAAAGCAACACATTTTAAGAGTCTTCAGTTTATATAATGGCAAGTGCTACTGCAAGAGAATAGATCAACAGTACTAGTACACATTTATTGCTATTTACATAGGATTATAAAAGTATGCCTGGTAGTATTTATCCTACTTATTTTGATGTCTCTGGGGTCATATAAAACCAGCATGAAAAGGCAAAATTAAAAGCACAAGCCTCCAACCTTTGTACATATAATAGTCACACATGTGAAACACTTCTATCATTATAAAGTGGAAACCAAAATAAGAGGCATATCCCCCACTCTTCAGTAGCTAATGCTGACTTGTGCCACAGTCTTGTACACCTCAGTCTACCTCACCGGCCCAGTTCTATACAGATATGATCTCCACCTGCAAGCATATATTTAAAACAAAAACATTTCAATTGCCCTGACCATGACTATCATCTATACATACATACTTGAACTGAATGGAACTTCTATCTGAGCTAGACATGAACTGGATTGGCTGTAAATTAACCGGTTTTTTTGGGGGGGGGCTTTCTATGTTAGGTTCTTGAGTATGGATAGTCTTAAAATCTCCCAGAGAGATATAGTAACAGCAGCAAAAATACTAGACCCATTACACACAGTATGCTAGAGAAAGTAAAACAGAAAGCGGGTAGGCAGGAAGGTGATTAAGGGTTTAAGGCGAAGAGAAAGAAAAATAACTTGGAGACAAAATTAAACTAAGAGCTTGGCGGGGAGAGGGGAGTCTAGAATACCTCCTTCCAAAACCAGGTCTTTCAACTGAGCATCCTTCAGTGTTGTACTGTTAAGCTGGTCAGTGGACATAATCGTGTCCTCCTCCGCTGGGAAAGGAGCGCGTCGGGCATCGCCTTGGGCTCCCTGCAGCAGCCAGGCAGCGTCGTCGCGAGTCTCCCGGTCGCCCAGGCGGGTGGGCGGGGGGTTGGGCTGGCCGCGTCTCTCCCTCGGCAGGCAGGCAGGCGAAAGCGGCCGGCGCTCCTAGACACAACTCCGTC